CTTACCAAATTGCAACTAGTCAAGCTAGCCACATCCCCCTGGGCAACCTGTGTGTCTGCCTTCTGAATACTGGATTGACTATACCTCTGCAGCTTTGTGGATTCTTGGGAACCTGTATTTGAGACAGGGTTTCTCTGTGTAGCTCTAGCTGCCCTGGAACTCACTCTGTAGAATATGCTGTCATCTAACTCAGAGTTCTGGGGTCTTTCTGACTCTGCCTCTCCTGAGTGCTAGGATTAAAGATATGTACCACCACCACCACCACCGAGGTTTTTAAAGGTTTTTAAATTTTAACTATTTGCTTTTTCTCCCTCTCTCATATATAACCTTCATAGGCCTGAGGATATCTCACCTCTGACATTAAAGGTGTGTGTTCACACAGGCCAATAAAAATGAGGCTTGTAATTAAATTAAATTGACTCTTAAGCTGGGCAGTGGTGGCACAAACCTTTAATCTCAGCACTCAAGGCACAGGCAGTAAGATCTCTTGAGTACAAGGCAAGCCTGGTCTACAGAATGAGTTCTAGGACCGCTAGACCTACACAGCTAATCCCCGTCTCAGTACCAGAAAACAAAACCTGACTCACAGCATACAAGGCAGCTCATTAACCTCTGAGAAGAACAGAAGCAGACCGTAATGATAGAAAAAGGCTGCATAGGGGGTAAAATTCAAAGAAAACAGAGTAATGTGAGATAAATGGGAAGGGTCATTAAAGGAAAAAGGACATAGCGAAATAGGTCAAACATTAAATCAGATTATGATGCTGCCAGTATACAGATGTGCTTACATTCAAGAGTATTGGAAAACGAGTTTGTGGAAGAATATAAACTTGCCTAAAATTAATCTTCATAAAATTTGACTCATTGATGCAATCTAGTGTCACTTAGTAACTGCTGGATAAATAGCTGCAGGAGTGCGGGAGGGAGGTCTACAGAAGATTCAGGTTTGATTCCTAGTACCCATGTATGTAACGCCAGTTCCAGGCAAATTGGATGCAGCCTGACCTCAGGCACAAAGGTGAACATACATACATGCAGGTAATCATACCCATTAATAAAAACAAGAATTACCTATATACTTGAGGTTTTTGAGGCCAAAACTGCCCTGTATAGAGAATTACGTGGCAGCTAGTGTTGCATGGTAAAGATCCTGTCTTAGTACATGATAGTAAAAGAGTTCCATTTGATTTTTTTATGTAGGCTGATTTGAATGTAGGCTAGTTTTAAGTTTTAAGTAATATGATTGATCTCTATCCCTAATGAATATACACTGATTAACCTATGTGATCAAAAGGAGGACTGTATCAAATGTCCAGAAGAAAATGCCTTTTTATATTTTATTTTCATTTTATCATATGTATTGCTACATACATAAGCTGCAAAGGCTTTTTTTTAATGTGGACCATGCTGACTTGGAACTCTGATCTACCACCCTTTGCCTCCCGAGTGTTGGTATAAAGGCTTGCACCAACAGCTACACTTTATGCCTAGGGAAACATTCTTGAGTGACACTGGAACCTGTTAAGTCTCATCAATTTCGTTTTATTTATTTGTTTGTTTATTGCTATTTCCTAATACATTATTAAGAACTTAAATACTTGAAAACTGGACTTCAAACCTAAGGCTTTGAGGTTTGGGTCAAGACTTATCTAATCTTTTTTTTTTTTTCTTCCGTTTTTCGAGACAGGGTTTCTCTGTGTAGCTTTGCGCCTTTCCTGGAACTCACTTGGTAGCCCAGGCTGGCCTCGAACTCACAGAGATCCACCTGGCTCTGCCTCCCGAGTGCTGGGATTAAAGGCGTGCGCCACCACCGCCCGGCAAGACTTATCTAATCTTGAAGATGATTTTTCCTGATCCCTTATCTTTAAGACAGTGTCTCTTTTCCACTCTTCACTGGAAATCACCCTGTAGCCCAGGCTAACATCAAACTCTGGCAGTAACTCTGTTTGATTCCCCCAGAAGAGGGTTGAGTTGTCAACCTAGCACTATTTCCTGGGGGTGGAGGTAGTGCCAGCAGGGTTTCAGATCTAGGAACTTTTGCTTTCTCTTCCAAAGGATCTGGGTTCAATTCCTAGTACCTACATGGAAGCTCATAACTGTCTTTAACTCTAGTTCAGGTCCTTTAACACCCTTAAATATACATGAGACATACCCTCAGGCCTGAGTTAAATATATATGTTTTTTTTATGATTTAAAGATTAATCAGTATTGAGTTGTATTTCTAGTACAAGGCCTTTCTGAGATTAAAGGCATTCACCACCACCACCTGACAATTTTTTTTTTTATTAATGTGAATATTGGAGATTGAACTCTAGATAGTCTTGATGGGTTCTGGTGCTTCCATGGCAAATATTTCACTGAACTCTATTGTCATCAGGTGTATAATTTTTGTGAACCTTATGTATATCTTGATAACTTTTTCTGTATTGGTGGATCTTTACTGTTGAGCAGTAAAATAAACCAAGAGCTTTGATTTTGCTAGGGATATCTTCCATTGCTTACATTTCCAGCACATAGTTACGTATTGCTTTAAAACATGTTTTGACATTTTTTCTTTTTTTGGGTGGTGAGGGTTGAGACAGGGTTTCGGGGTGTAAGTCTGGCTGTTCCAACTCACAGAGATGCACCTGCCTTGTCCTGGAATTCACAGAGATCCGTCTGCCTCTGCCTCCTGAGTACTAGGATTAAAGGTGTGCTCCTCCACTGCCTGGCTTAATTTTATCTATTGATGGTGTTGTTATTATTTTGAGATAGTCTGTACATAGCCCTGGCTGTCCTGGAACTCACTATGTAGTCCAAGCTGGCCTGAGACTCAGAACCAACTGTCTCTGCCTCTACCCTTCCTGGTGATGCCACCCTTTTTTGTTTGTTTGTTTTTTGTTTTTTTGAGACAGGGTTTCTCTGTTTTGGTGCCTGTCCTGTATATCTCTCTGTAGACCAGGCTGGCCTTGAACTCAAAGATCCGCCTGCCTCTGCCTCCCTAGTGCTGGGATTAAAGGCATGCGCCACCACCACCCAGCGATACCACCATTCTTAACATCATTTTTTTTTCCCCGTAATTTTTTGAAGACTGCCATGGTTGGAGATTTGTATGAGTGATACTAAAAAATAGAAAATTTTAGGTGGCAGACTGAGTAATACTTTTAAATGCTAAGGGATCAGAAACTTTAGCATGCTACAGGAGTCCTCTAACAATGAGCCCTTTTTAAGTTTGAATTGGGAATGGGGGTTCAAGATAGGGTTCTCAGTATATCTCTGGCTGTCCTGGAACTCACTCTGTAGACCAGGCTAGTCTCAAAACTTAGAGATCTTCTTTCCCTTTTCTCTCAAGTGCTGGGATTAAAGGTATGTGCAACTACAGCCCACCTTTAGGTTTTTTTTTTAACCCCCTCATTTTAAGGATGAACCTCGGTTACTTTTGGAAACTACAGGTAAAATAACCTAGGTCCTTGAACAGGTAAATAGAGGATTTATCATTAGCAAAGATGGCACTCCCACAGACTTAGTTTAGTACTCGGAGATAGGTCCGTGAATTTGATGCAGGCCTTGTCAAAGAAAGGATTGGTGGGTGCATGAGAGAACCTTAGAGAACATACCAAGCATTTTACTAGACAAATTTCCTAGGGACAATGTTTAGGTGACAGTTACTTTTTAAGAATGCTTAGTTGCTTCCTTTTACACCTCTTCTATTCAGTAATTTGTACCATTCCTGACTTTTGGTGGTAGTGATGACCGCCTGATATTGAGACTTTATTTATTTTGTATGCATCGTAGGGTATGGATCATATTCCTTATTTAATAAATTTGACCTGTCATTTATTTACCTTATACTAAACTAAGTAAGGTGTAGGGGGAAACAAGATGGTTTAGTGGATAAGGTGCTTTCTGCCAAAACTGACAACTTCAGTTTGTTTCCTCACCATATGGTGGAGAGTTGTCCTTTAACTTCTACATGTGAGCAACCTTGCACACACATGTGCACATGCTGTAATGGGGCCTGAAATCTTTTGACTGCTCTAAAACTATTGAACTCTACGGTTAAAATTAAATAGCAGGAGACTTATCTTATATTTTGTATTAGTAAAACAGAAAAACTTCTGCTGAGAATTAGTTTGTCATGGTTCACCTAAGGATAGGAAGGATGAAAAATACTAGGCCCAGCTTAAATATTTTTTAGTTATTTTTCAAAAGGATGGGGGCCCTATAAATTATTTAAACTCTGATGTTAGGATTTACATTGCTAGCAGGCAGCAAACAAAGGATTGTGAAATAGAATTTATCTTAAAAAGGGTGTCAGTGGGTATTTTTTTCTTTTTGTAAGACTGACTCCATTATCATTTTAAGAGTTTGGTTGTTAACAAATAGTTTTAATAGACTAGAACCAGAGCTGTGTGGTGACTCAAACATAAAATTCCAGGATTCTGAAGTATTCAGAATTCCAGTATTCAGGCCATCTTTGCTAGAGTAGATCTGTCTGAAAAGAAAAAACTGAATGTTGTATTTTCTTATTTGTTCTGTGTCTTACACTGGCTAGTTTATCATCATCACCATCCATTATTAATATTCCAGGTGTAAAGAGTGGTTTTAGAGTAATTGTACCTAATGAAAAGATGGCTTGTAGCATATGCTAAATCAAATCTGCGTGAATATTTGACCAGTCGGAAATACTTGCCTTTGTATAAGTATACTGGAAAGATAAAAATTAAATATTTTTACTTGAAAGATATTTGAAGTTGGTCTGTTTTGAGAAAACTGAGACAATATGCTAGACAGAGCTAATTGTAGGATTCTAACAACCAGGAATGCAGAAAAGGCCGAAAACTGATAGTAAAGATTTTAGGGAGTTATAATTTGCTTAAGGACTTCAACTTTCAGAAGGATCACTTGGAATTAATATAAAGGAAGATTGTGTTGCCAGTATATGAGGGATAAAATCATTATTGTATTAATATAATGTATATCTGTTAACCTGAATGCTTCTCTTTTGTTCCAATTTTCAGCTTTGTGAGAGACCTTGTAATCAAAGGAGATGGCTAGCAATGTTACCAACAAAACAGACCCTCGATCCATGAATTCCCGTGTATTCATTGGGAATCTCAATACACTTGTGGTCAAGAAGTCTGATGTGGAGGCAATCTTTTCAAAGTATGGCAAAATTGTGGGTTGCTCTGTGCATAAGGGCTTTGCCTTCGTCCAGTATGTTAACGAAAGAAATGCTCGAGCTGCTGTAGCTGGAGAGGATGGCAGAATGATTGCTGGCCAGGTTTTAGGTGAGTTTTATAGTTTATAAAATTCAAGCTTGAATTGTTTTGTTTTACTTTCTCTTTTTTTAAGGCAAGTATACAAAGTGTTGGATTTCATTATGGCATATTTGTACATACATATTACACTTCGTTTTTTTTTTTTGTTTGTTTGTTTCTTTGAGATAGGGTTTCTCTGTATAGCTTTGGAGCCTCTCCTGGAACTCTTTTTGTAGACCACACTGGCCTTGAACTCACAGAGATCAGTCTTCCTCTACATCCTGAGTGCTGGGATTGAAGGAGTGTGCCACTACTGCCCAACAATTGTACATTTCTTCGCACACTAAAATAATAAAATTTATGACACTTTGTTGGAGTTTTTAAATTTTCTACTTTGTGGTGGCTTGTTTCTTTAGTCATTTAAAGTGGTCCTTTTTGTCCTTTTGTAATTCTGGCAGATCTAGTGTAGTGCTGCTTACTAGAAATGTGCTGTGGACTGTAGTTTCTTGGTTCATTTTTTTTTTAAACTTTTAAAGGAAAAGTAAGTTTGTTTTATCTTTAATTACTCGATACTGAAGTTAAAATGCTGACCAATTTGCAAGGCTGGAACTGTTAACCCACTGCTGATAGGGAGCAGCTATGAACATTGCTGGAGGTTTTCACAAAAATTACCACAGACAAGTGCAAGCTGTACTATTGTTAGGCTTAGAACCGGAGTATTCTATCTCCTACTGCAGATAATTGTGTTTATATCTTTATTACTGCTATATTCCCAGTAGTAAAGAAATGGAACCAGCCTAGAAATTTTCATATGTATGTGATGTAATATATATGCATACACAGTGAAAACTTATTCAGCTATAAAGAAAAACAAATGGGCTGGATAGATGGCTAGTAGGTTAAGAGCACTGGCTCCTCTTCCAGAAGACCTAAGATCATTCTTGGCACTCACATGGCAGCTCACAATTGTCTGTAACCAATGCACATATAAAAAAAGGAAGAGACACAAATGTAAAAATTGTAGGAAAATGGGTAAATAAGTACTGAAGTGAAAAGACAAAGTGTTCTTTCCTTTGTAGAACCTTCCTTGTAATGTATGCACATTTGTGTATAAATAGGTATATTGTGGGTAAAGAGCCAGAAAGGAGACCAAGAGGGTGTTCAGTAAGGCAGGGAGAAGGAAGTACAAACTGCAGATTTTGGAAACTGCTAAAACACTGTTTGAAAATGCACTGGCATCTACTACTACTATGCTAATTAGGATATAATTGCATTTCTCTTTTGCTTGATTTGTTTCAGTTTCTCAGTGCCTCTAAGGAAAATAACTAAATTCAACATTGTATTTGAGGATTTAAAATTATTTCTTTGCATTCCATTGGGGATGTTGAATAAATATAGTGATGTTACTTGAAGGAATTCTTAGTTATAATCAACTTGATAGTTTGGTTCTGTTTGCATTTTACTATGTATAATGGATTACTTTTATAAAAATGAACATACATGGTTTGGAATTAAAGACTAGGAAAGCAAGGTTATGTAAATGAGTTCCACTAAGAATTCAATGACAGTGCATCTACTGGTGCTCATCTGAAATTATCACTTGTGAAACTTGTTCTAGCCAGCTTTGGTCTAGTGTTTCTTCATCCCCCCCCCCCCCCCCCCCCCCCCCCCCCCCCCCCAAATTTAGGCTTAATTTGTTAGAACTAGTGAGAAAATCTTTATATAGACAGTGAGTGACAAAGTAAATCTTTGTTTTAGTCCCTAAAAACTAGGTTGTATTTTAAAACATTTTCTTTGGTGGGTATTTTGGGAATCACCAGAGGACAATTTGCTAGAATCCTCTATTATCTGGGTCCTTAAATTTGGAGGAAAATTGTTTTGTAAACACACGTCCATGTCCTAACTTAGGATTTTCCCTCCTCCAATGTGGGTAGTGGGCATGGAGCTAAGGTTGCCAGACTAGGAGACAGGTGCTTTACCCAGTGTGCAATCTTGGCAGCTCTGTATGCTTTGAAATTCAGATGTTGTTTATTTTTATAGGTGTGTATGTCTCGAGGTTGTTTATTCATTGTCTGAATATTAGTTTGCTAGGGTATTTTTTGTGTGGAGTTTAGCTGCTAGGAATGGCAATAAGAAATGTCCTTTGGGCTGGTCAGTGGTGGCTCACGCCTTTAATCCCAGCACTTGGGAGGCAGAGCCAGGCAGGTCTTTATGAGTGAGATCCAGGACAGGCACCAAAAGTACACAGAGTAAAACCAAAAAAAAAAAGGTCCTTTGGACGTGACTTGAGGGTGTGACCCTAAAATTGCCATGTTTATCTTTGCAGTTATGCACATGTTCTTTTTTTGTGACATTTAAATAGAAACATTACTGGGGAAATGACCTGTCACTAGCTACTGATTTTGTCACATTCTTTAACTGTGTTAGTGTATGAGTAAACAGTTTTGAAAGATGAATCGAGTTTACAAATGGGAACTTAGAGTGGGGGTAGATAACAAAGAACAACGAATGCTGCGTCAGGACCGTTTCTGTGTCAAAACAGTACAGAAATGGAAGGCTAGGTCTGTAAAAACTTAACCTTGTTGTGAGAAGGGAAGTTAATGTTGCACATTAGATAACTGCAGTCTCAATATACGGGTTTGTTTGCTTTGCTGGGTGACATAACTCAATCTCTTTGCCTTGAAGTTTTTGTTATTTTTAAACCCCCCCCCCCCACTTTGTCTTTTTTTCCAGATATTAATCTGGCTGCAGAGCCAAAAGTGAACCGAGGAAAAGCAGGTGTGAAACGATCTGCAGCGGAGATGTACGGGTCAGTACCAGAACACCCTTCTCCGTCCCCTCTACTCAGGTCCGGAACTTTATTATTTATAACTGCATTGTGTCCATCAATGGGCATCTTCTCTGTGTTTTCTGGATGTGGGGAGGGTTAGTGCAATGTGTTTTATGTGCAAAAGTTTAATGCTTATTAACTTTGTGTTAACATAATTCCCTTTTGCCCATATTTCCTAGCTCTGAGATTTTTGCTGGTTAAGAATAATTTTAAATGTATAGCATAAATTCAAGAGGAATTTGTTAGGTACTAGGAAGCTGGGGAATAAGAAAGGGAAAGGGGATTGTGGTTTAACAACTATTGTATTCTTTCAGTGTTCTTGGTTTGGCTCATAAGTTATATTGTTGAAATTTTCACCTGAATTAGTAATTTGATCACTGCATGTCCAGTGGTCTAAGATAACATGGAGGAAAAATGATTTGTTTGAATTAATGGGGATTATTCGTTGCTAATCTTACTACTGATCTATTTGTTGTGGTTTCGTTTGGCCTGTTTTCACCCCATCTGCCTTTTGAAGTAACAACAGCAGCTCCAAAATAATCTTTTTTTGGTATTTATTTTTCAGTTCCTCATTTGATTTGGACTATGACTTTCAACGGGATTATTATGACAGGTAAGTATGGGGTTTTATTCTTTTTGGATGTTAATTAAAAAGCTTGAGATGCTCTCTTTTTCCTTTTTAAATAATATGTTTCAAATGCTACTTTTCACTGAAAATTAAAACCTCTAGTAGGATGCTTGGAAATTCAGCTTAAAAAAAAATAACAAGCCCTACCTCAACTCTTTATGTGTATGGGTTTGGGTGAATGTCTGAGCCATGTGTTGGATGTCTACAATCCCCAGAAGAGGGCTTTTCAGATGAACTATTGTTCCCAGGCAGGTGTGAGGTACCCAGCATTGGTACTGAGATCAGAACCTGGGTCCTCTGGGAGTGCTTATTCATTTCATGAGCCATCTTCAATCCCATAACATGGCATTTTTATTGATTTAAAAGTATTTTTCTTATAATAGGAATGTAATAGAGACCTAATGTTTAAAATCCTATAGTCAGCCGGGCGGTGGTGACGCACGCCTTTAATCCCCAGCACTCGGGAGGCAGAGCCAGGCGGATCTCTGTGAGTTCGAGGCCAGCCTGGTCTCCAAAGTGAGTTCCAAGAAAGGCGCAAAGCTACACAGAGAAACCCTGTCTCGGGGAAAAAAAAATTTGCACAAAATCAAATTTGTCTTGTTCTTGTGTACTCTCTCTCCAATCAGAGTGATAAGTGTCCTATCTTCAATGAAATTTATCAGATGATCATGCACAATGTGTATAAATACCACAGCAGGAAAGACAGACTCAGTTTATTTTATTACAGGAAGTATTGCATTAGCAGCTTTACATAACATGGATCACAAAGCTCTATTTGTGATGGTTATTTTGGTTATTTTTTGTTCATGTCCCTTCCCAACCAGTGGAATTAGGTTTATCAAGTTAGAAAATACACTGCTTAGTTTTTAACTATATTAGTAATGTTTTCTATAGGTGCAAACTGAAATGCCAGCATTCAGGAGGCTGAGGCAAGGAGGATCTTTGGTAGACCTGTGCTACATGAAGCTGCCCAAACCAACATCAAATAAAGCAAGTCAAAACAAAATACATACACACAGCCAGGATTTTAGAAGCCTTGCAAAATAACAGTGATTTAAACATATGTACTCCAAAGATTCAACATGACAGGCTCTATATATGCAAGATCAGTGGTGCCAAATGATTTGTTTGGCAGATCCATCTGAATCTACTTTTCTTGGTTTTTCCAAGGTTAAACATGAAAAGCTTGTATAACAAAATGGTCGTGATCAATTAACATTAATGATGTTTTTAAAAGTCTCCCTGAAAGACTTCCAAGGCAAAACTAATCTATTTTATATATAATAGATGTTTTCACTCTAGTACCCTGGCTTTTCGGCTGTTGACTGAGTCCAGGCACTAAGAATTTTAGCTATTCACGTCAGTTTGCACCACCACACTTGGCTTGTGTTTTCTTCACACAATGTGTATCATAATATATTTAGTTTCCCAAAGCATTTCATGTTGAAATATTTTTGTTTAGAGATAATATCTTGGCATGATTGGTTCTAAGTTCCCTGTGGCTGCTGAAGCCCATTATAAGAGATGATGTATATGCATAAACTCCTGAGGATTCCAGCCCTATTTTACATACCTTTAGCTCTCCGTTACTATGTTACGTATAAGGAACACTGTTAGAGTAGTGTTAATTAGCTGTATTGCTTAGCACATGACTTCAAACATAAGTCATTCAAATTGAGGTGACTGGAATTGAATGAAATAGCAGAAACGACAGTGGTGGGTTCACATGTAATCCCAGCAGTCAGCTGACAAAGGATGTCAAATTGATGTTCACATCTCCCATATAATGAAAGAAACAAAAGCAAACCACAACAAAATAATGGAAGAAAAAGTTTCTTGAAGGGTTTCTTTCTAGTTGTTTTGCCTCCCCCCCCCCCCCCCCCCCCCAGACAGGATTTCTTTGTGTGGCTCTGGTTTCTTTGTAGTGCTGGGATTAAAGGTGTGAGCCACCACATCCTGACTATTGAACAGTTTCTAATTTGTAGCAGATCTACAGAACATGCTACTTCTAAAACATCACTCTTGTTACCTTTGCAGAAAAGGACCTTACAATTTTTGTTTATCCTTGGTCTGTTTGCACTAAAGAGTTCTGTAGTTTTTTTCTTTTCTTTTTTCTACACGAGTAGACCTATATTAAAAGTGTATTTGAACTAGCAAATTTAGAAAATGAAAACATGATTTCTAGATAAGAAATTAAGCAATTTCATTCTGAATTCAGGAAAACTCAGGTAAAAGTTTTTCGTGACTGATGTTACCTGTTTTTGTTTGGTTTGGTATTTTGAGGCAAGGTCTCACTGTGTGTAGTGCTTCCTGTCCTGGGATTCACGATGTAGTCCAGGCTAGTAGTCTAGAGATCCACTTGCCTCTGCCAGTATTAATGGCGTGTGCCACCCCAAGTATGTTTCTTAAATTATTATTCAGAGAATGTTAAGATCCAAGTTTCAGGGATTCGCAGGCATCCTAAAACCCAACAGAAGTAGCTATAGTAAACGTTTCCCAAAGAAGTTGAAATTAAATGAGACTACTATTGGTTAAAGATAGTGGAGCTGGAGAAAGTAATGTGACACTTACCTTTCAAATCAACAAATATAACTAGTGTTGATTCCATCAAGCTGTCTCAGCTGACCTCAAGTATGGTGTGGCATTCATACCTATGTGCACACATTAAATAATTGTAGTAAGCTATCTCCACAATTTTGGTGGGGAATCATGTGCCATTGTATATATAGAGGTCAGAGGACAACATTTGGGTTTCTCTATCACCCAAATTCCAAAGATCAAATGGCAGAAAATGCCTTTATGTGCTGCTGTCTCACCTATCCTATGATAGGTTTTTTTTTCAAGTAGATGAAAAAAAATTGTATTGGCAGGACTTTAACTAGTAGCAGTGTTTATGTTTGAGTGATCAGAGACTTAATTAAAAATGAATACCTGTTTGCAGACTCAATGAATTTCAGTACTTTGTGAGTGTTATATTTGACTTTGTGGATTGTTTAAGTATAAGATGAGACGCAATTCATTATAAGTAATATGTTGAAAGTTCCACATAGCGAAAACAAACCAGTCAAGTCCATGATTTGGTGTTTCCCCTTGGAGACACTGCAGTGTTATTTCATCAGAGTGGAGTTTTGAATCATACCAAGTTAGTAAAAAGAAATAACTGAAACAAATAATTCTATTGTAAGACTCTTATCTTTTTATTCAATAGGATGTACAGTTACCCAGCACGTGTTCCTCCTCCTCCTCCGATTGCCCGAGCTGTGGTGCCTTCTAAACGCCAGCGCGTTTCTGGAAACACCTCTCGAAGGGGGAAAAGTGGATTCAATTCGAAGAGTGGACAACGGGGATCTTCATCTAAGTCTGGAAAGTGTAAGTGTTATTTCATTTTTATTATGGTGTGTTTTTGTGCAATGCCTCCCACCTCCCATTCTGTTTTTATTTAAGTATATGTGTATGTGGGGGAGATTATCAATGTCAGAGAGGGTGTTGACTCCCGTGGAGCTGGAGTTGTAGGTGTGAATACTTATCATGGGTTCTGGGAACTGACCAAACTTCACCATTTCTCCAGCCTTTAAAAATTAGAGATATTACTAGAGTTGACATAACTAATGTATGAGTGTGAACTTGAATAGTACAAGTGGGGAAATGCTCAGGTGGTAAAGTTACTGCACTGCAAGGGGTGAAGACCTGAGTTTGGATACCAAGTATACACACATAGAAAGCAGAGTACCTTACTTAACTCAGTTCTAACTCTGGGGTGGCTGAGAGGTGCACAGCCCTGGACTTGCAGGCCACCTAACCTTGCAAAATGAGTTTAATTGAGAGATCCTGTTCTCAAAAATAATTATGGAAACAGTGTTAATGATAGCTTTAGTCCCCACATTAGGGAGGCAGGGTCAGGCACGTAGTGAGACCCTGTTCTCTCTTAAAAGGGGTGCTGGTAGCATATGCCTTTAATCCTAGCACTTAGAAGGCAGAGGCAGGAGGACCTCCCAGTTCTATCAAGGCCAACCTGGTCTAAAGAGCAATTCCAGGAGAGGCTTCAAAGATACACAGAGAAAAACCCTCTTGAAAAACAAAAAAAAAAAAAAAAAAGAAAAAGAAATTTCACCTCCAGAATAGAGTGCAATAGTAGGTGACACTTGATGTTGACCTCTGATTTACCCATGAACACAAAAACAAGGGAAAAAGAGAAGAGAGCATTAAGAATTTCAGATTGAGTACCAGTGGTGGTGGTGCTGCACGCTTTTGATCCCAGCACTTGGGAGGAAGAGGCAGATAAATCTCTGAGGTCAAGGCCAGCCTGGTTTTGACTGGAGAATATGTTACAGTAGTATTATAACATTTTAATCATTTACCAACTGAAGATAGACTTCTTTACTTAGCTGAGTGGAGGGAATATGTTACAGTAGTACTATAACATACTTTAATCATTTACCAACTGAAGATAGACTACTTAGCTGGGTGGAGGGATGGCACGTTCCTTTAATCCAAGCACTTGGGATACAGAGGGAGGCAGATCTCCAAGTTGGAGTCCAGCCAGGGGTACTCAGAAATGCTGTCTCACAAAACCAAAAAAGAAAAAAGAAGGTCTCCGTAACTTACTGTTGTAGTTGTTACCTCTTCCATCCTTTAGGTTTGTTTTTTTGGTAGCTGTTAAAATAACAATTTGCCGTTCAGTGGTAGAGCACGCCTTTAATCCCAGCACTCGGAAGGCAGAGGCAGGCAGATCTAGGCCAGCCTGGTCTACAGAGCGAGATCCAGGAAAGGCACAAAGCTACACAGAAAACAAAACAAAACAAAAAAACAATTTCTCCCTGTGTACTGAGAATCAACTCACAAGCCCAGCCCCTAGAAAGAACATTTTCAACAGCTTGTAAATTATATTTTATTCAAGTCTAACATTGTATTTGTTACAGTGAAAGGTGATGACCTTCAGGCCATCAAGAAGGAGCTGACTCAGATAAAGCAAAAAGTGGATTCTCTGCTGGAAAGCCTGGAAAAAATTGAAAAGGAACAAAGCAAGCAAGCAGGTAATGGTCTTACTGCTTGTTTCAAGTAAAATTGGGTTATCTTCTTAAGGTAGTTTAACATGTTTGCAAATTGGGGTGTTTGGGAGGGGCATTAATTTGTTTGGAAAACTATTTGTTCTTTGATTAATCAGTGTTGTCTATATCCTTTGGGCAACACTTGCCCCTGGACAGACTTGTCCTTCTCATCCCCAGTAGAGATGAAGAATGAAAAGTCTGAAGAAGAGCAGAGCAGTGCCTCTGTGAAAAAAGATGAGACTAATGTGAAGATGGAGTCTGAGGCCGGTGCAGATGACTCTGCTGAGGAGGGTGACCTGCTGGATGATGATGACAATGAAGATCGGGGGGATGACCAGGTGATTACCTTGTGAAAGGAAGGAAAGTTGGGGGATCGGGATCCAGGGATACAAGGGGTAACCTCTAATTCCACCTTATTTGTCTATTTCTCACAGCTGGAGTTGATCAAGGATGATGAAAAAGAGGCTGAGGAAGGAGAGGATGACAGAGACAGCGCCAATGGAGAGGATGACTCTTAAGCACATAGTGGAGTTTAGAAATCATTATTCATTTACCTAGGCGCTTGTGAGAGATCAAAGTAACAGCAGATCCTCTCCCCTAGAACTTCAGCACATTCTCACTGTTCACCCTCTCCTTATCCTTCCTGTTTCATTGATTCATAATTGCCCTGCGCCTAGTTCCATTTTCACTTCCTTTGATGCTCCTTAGTAGTTTTGTTAAGTCTTACCTTGTAAGTTTTGCTTTTAATTTTGATACCTCTTTGACTTAACAATAAAAAGATGTATGGTTTTTATCAACTGTCTCCAAAATAATCTCTTGTTATGCAGGGAGTACAGTTCTTCCCATTCCTATGATTTTGGTAGTTGCTTCCCTAATTGCAGAGGCATCTCATTTACTTGTAACCCTGAGAGCAGCTTTGCATTATAGGTGTGTGTTTCCCTCACATGAGTGGGGCTGTTCAACACGAATGTAACCATGTATTTTTGTGAATGAGAGTTGGCATGTCAAATGCATCTTACAGGAAAATAGTGTAATAGTCTTAATATTTGTTTTCTAAAGTTAATACCATGGGTTATTTTTGTGAACAGCCTGATGTTTGGGATCTTTTTCTCAAAATAAACAATTCCTTATTAAACCAGGAATTTGAAGGAAAAAGATTTTTTTATTACAGTTATTTGCTTTTTTTTTTTTTTTAAATCGACCACAAATCTTAGGTTTTATTGAATACAATTTTCTTGGGCATCATAATCATGCATACCAATATATACAAATAAAAATCCTTTCGATATGAGTGTTAATTTTAAATAATTTTGACATGGAGTGGTTTCAGTTACTATTTAGAAGCCTGACTTATTTTTTATTGGATTCCTGGCCTGTGCCTCAGTTACTGAAAATAGAAAAGTATTTATCTTCACTCCTTTATATTAGCATTTGCTTTCCAGAGAACTGAGAATATAATGAGGGCTATAATTATCCATACGAGGTACTCTTAGCTTTTACCCCCTTGGTAGATTAGACTAAGGCTAAAGGTAGGAACAGGCTTGGAGGCTTGTGTTACATGTTTGGTCCTGACACCCAGTTTATTTGTGATTTTTACTCTTGTTATTTTTCTGCATAGGTCTAAGAAAAATCTGGTTCTTTTATGAACACAGACTTTGTATTTCCCAAAAAGATGTCATTCTGTATAACAGACAGTGCAAGCTTGTGTTTTCATCCTGTGCACTGTGGACAAACGTTTCTCCCTTTTATGTAACAAATGATAAAAACTTAGTAGAAAGTGGAGGCTGAGCTAGGGTCTACCCTTATATCCCAGTGCACATAATACACAATGGCTTTTATTTATCGGTCTCCCTCCAATAATCTTGGCATGGTCTTGGGTTTTAATATGAACTCTTTATACATTTAACTATTCTGAGTAATCAGCTAGGTGTTTAGAAGGTATCAGGCCCAAGGTGGTAATAAATAAAAATGTTTAAATGTGCTGTTAGCTGTCTTATTAGTTAGTAGTTATTAGTTTATATTTCTGGTACTGGTTATTGTATTTTCAGGTGATTGTATAATTCCCCCAAGAATGCACGTAGAAAATCTGAGATGTAATAGAGTGGGCCTACTCTTCATTTATCACTAGCAGTATCAGTGTATATCCCTCCCTAATCTTAATAGGAACATTGCATATGCTAGGCCTCAGCAACCTAGATAGACTGTTTGGCGTTCAAGAGTCCTAGGCCTAGCATAGTAAACATGAATCTGATTAAATGAACCTGGGTTATTTGTACACGCATGTGCAGTACAGGTGGCTTACGGAGGCCAGAAGAGGGCGTCATCCCCATAGAGTTCCAGTGGTTGTGTGGCACCCAGCAGTACTCTACAGGAGTGCTCTCCTAGCCCTCACCCTGAGTCAAGTCCTCTCACTAGCCTAGTTCGTTTGAAGGAGGTAAATGGTATTAAGACTTGGATCAGATGGCAGGTTTATTTTAATTTAAAAACTTTTATGTGCATTGGGTGTTGGATCGCATGGAACTGGAATTTTAGATAGTTTTGAGCCACTATGTTGGTGCTAGGAATAGAACCAGGTTCCTCTGGAAGACCAGCCAATGCTCTTAACTGCTGAGCCATCTCCGGCTCCTCTAGGTCCATTTTTCAACCTGGACCTTAGAAAGGCATGTGGCAGACCAGTGGGCATGATGGTGTCAGGGCAGGGGTTGGAGCTTGAATCGCATAATTAAAGGGAATTTGGGATAATTTTAACATCAGGATTAAAACAATGTAGTCCAAGCCATGCCTTGATTCACCATGTCATTTGAGGATGACTTCAATCTTCTTGCTTTTACATACCAAGTATTGGGATGTGATGGTATTGTGTTCCCCAAAATATTGTGCACCCTAATAAACTAATCTGGGGTCAGAGAACAGAACAGTCACTAGATATAGAGGCCAGAAAATGGTGGCATACACGCCTTTAATCCTATCACTTGGGAGTCAGAGATCCATCTGGATCTTTGTGAGTTTAAAGCCACACTAGAAACAACCAGGCATGGTGACTCATGCCTTTAATCCCAGGGAGTGATGGCAGAAAGTAGAAAGGTTTGTAAATAAGGCTTGGAGACCAGAAACTAGCAGCTTTTGGCTGGTTAAGCTTTTAGGCTTTTGAGCAGCACAGTTCAGCTGAGAGGCATCCAGTCTGAGGAAACAGGATTAGCTGAAGAATTGGCAAGGTGCGGTTACTGTAGCTTGTTCTGCTTCTCTGATCATTCAGCGTTCACCCCAGTACCTGACTCAGGTTTGATTTTATTAAGAATTTTTAAGATTCTTGCTACATTGGGGTTATAGAAGTCTATCATTAAGTTAGGCAAAATAGAAAAGAGTTTCTTGTACCTTAAGACTTTAACCAAGGGCTTCATGCCTGCCACTTGCACACTGGCACTAAGCTGCTGTCAAATTGCTGATAATGCATAGTTTTATATTTTGGAGACCATTCTTTGGACCTGTTGGTTATGGATACTTGACTACTGGTATCAGTGAAATGAGAAGACTGAAATTTGTCAAGTTAAAATGCTCAAAAGGTGGTTATCACTAGATTTCCATTTGGAGAACATCATGAGACTAAAAGTTCTAAGATTTTGTTCATTTCTGTCTCATTTTCAGTTTTTACAGAGAACTGGATAAGTTAAAATGATTGTGAACTGGAAAGGATATAATGGAAGGAGAATTATTAGGAATTGTTAAGTGAGCCATGGCATAAAAAAGACCACTGTTGATAACAGTAGTGAGGTCAAGCTATGCTTAAAGTACTAGTGTTGTGTTTGGAATTTTGTTTACTGGTGAGTGGCATGTTTGAGCATTTGGCAATCATGGGAGAATTACTGAAGTGAGTTCTCCATCAGTTCTACAGATTGAACTCAGTTTTATCAGGCATTTATTGCAAGCACTTTTTCCTACATTTAACCATCTTCCTGGCCCTGATGTTAGGATTTCTTAAAAAATATGTATTTGTTTAGCTAGTTGAACTATAGAGAAATAAAATTTAACAAAGTCAGTTAAAGGCTGGTAAAAGCATAGTATATTAGTCTGCCTCGTAGTCAGTAAATATTTAATACAGTATAGAAAGCAATCACTTGATTTTTCAAGACATGGTTTCTCTGTGTAGCCTTGGCTGTCCTGGAAGTCACTCTGTAGACCAGGTTGGCCTTGAACTCAGAGATCTGCCTGGCTCTGCTAGGACTAAAGGTGTGTGCCACCACTGCCTGGCCTGCTCAACACTCCCACCCCCACCCCCGAGATAGGGTTTCTCTGTAGTTTTGATGCCTGTCCTAGATCTCACACTGTAGGCCAGGCTGGCCTCGAACTCACGAGATCCACCTGGCTCTGCCTCCCGCGTGCTGGGATTAAATGTGTGCGCCTCCACCACCTGGCTCGCTCACTTCTCTTGAGACCTGAAGGAATATTGTGACAGTGGAACAAATGAATTTTGAAATGTGTTAGTGTGACTGAATCAGTTTTTAAGTTGTGTATATTTACTTCATGGTAACAGTAACTACTGTGATGTTCCTGGACAAGTGTTGGTTAATCCAGACAGTGCAAACATGGTATCTCCAAAGATAACTTCGTGACTCTAGTTTGTGATAGTTTCCTAGGCCCTGAACCCTAGAAGAGTGCGTCTGGGGACAGGTGCATCTGCAGCATGAGATGTCCCGTGCTGCTCACACCTTTAAGTATGCCATGTCTTTTACAGAATAGGCCTATACTATTTAGTTTTTGTTCTTGGACTATTTCTTATATTGACCACTTTTCGACCTGCCACTTACCATAGACCTTATGCAGCTAGCTATCCCTGAAGCAACGGGGGAAACAGTGCTAACTAAGCAACTCAATTTCAAAGTTGCAGATAAATTAGACACTTTGTTCAAAGTCTCAGAGTTGATTAAGTCGAAGTCAGAATTTTAATCTATGGTCTGACTTGCTCGTGGGTGTTACCCTGTGTGTCGTAGGAACTTGGATACACCAGTGCTCGATTTTGGGTTTTTGAGACAGGGTTTCTCTATGTAACAGCCCTGGCTGTCCTGGTACTCACTCTGTAGACCAAGGTGGTCTTAAACTCACAGAGATCTAATTGCCTTTGCCTCCTCAGGGCTGTGATTAAAGTATGCATCACCACCGCCCAGCCCATGCTGGCATTTTAAAAAGGCATTCTCCACCATGCCTGAGTGCCCATGAATTTTTCAGCTTTAAAAGAAAAAATGGTGTCTGAATGCAATGGTTTTCCGACTATAACTGAAGCCTCCAGGAAACATCCACATCTTTCTCTCTACCTCAGGATTATGATTATTTCATGGACCCAGTATGTTACTGGGAAATGCTGGTTTTAAGAGCTAAATTCGCTCGGTGGTGGTTAATCCCAGCACTTGGGAAGCAGAGGCAGGCGATCTCTGCTTTCAAGGCCAGCCAGGTCTACACAGTGATTTCCAGGATAGCCATGGCTGTCTTCAAAAACAGGAAAATTCTATAATATAGTAGGTTTTGCTTCAGGAATAAAAGAACAGTATCTCTTACCTTCCATCACCTTTCTTAAAACTATTTCTGTATTGGTTATTATACTTAACTTTCTGCTAGTCCTTGATACCGGCATAGCCTTGATGAACTTCCTGCATGTCACTGGTGTAATCTGAAAAACATGTCCCAAAACACTTGCCCTGCACACCTGATGGCCTGAGTTTGATTCCTGGGACCTATATAAAGGTGCAAGGAGAGAGCTGACTGGAGTTGTCTTCTCACCTCTTTATGTGCGCCATGGTA